GAGGCTCGTTTGTAAGGGTTTAGGGTTTAGGGTTTAGGGTTCAGGGTTTAGGGTTTAGGGTTTAGGGTTTGCTGTAAGAACCTCACCTGAGGTGATCCGACTAGAGCGGCCTTACCTTGATAAGGAAACTTTCAAATTGAGTTGCCCATGAACCTCCCTAGCCAAACCCCAAACCCTAAACCCATCTCAACCCGAAGTCCTGAACTCCAAGCCCTAAACCCTAAACCCTAAACCCTAAACCCTAAACCCTAAACCCTAAACCCTAAACCCTAAACCCTAAACCCTAAACCCTAAACCCTAAACTTCAAACCCTAAACCCTAAACCCTAAACCCTAAACCCTAAAACCTAAACCCTAGCCCTAAACCCTAAACCCTTAACCCGAAACCCGCGCAGGCTTCGGAGTGGGTGGCAGCTTTGCAGCTTCTCTCGGCGACCCGGCTGCAAGAAGGAAGATCCGAGTCTAGGGTTAGGGGTTTAGGGTTTCGGGTTTCGGCACGGGTTTAGGGTTTAGGGCTGAGGGTTTAAACTTCTAACCCCATTCCTTGGCTTGAGATGCTGGACCCGAATTCCTACACCCTAAACCCTAACACTTCTAACCTTGTGCCTGGACTTGAGATGCGGAACCCTAAGCCCTAGACCCTAAACCCTAAACCCTAAACCCCTTCTTCGACTCGAGGAGCTCGACGAACGGCAGCTGTCTCCAGACATCGTGGCAACCCGGCATCTAGATAAAAGTGGGTGTTTAGGGTTTAGGTTTAGGGTTTAGGGCTTAGGGTTTAGGGCCAAGGGCCAAGGGCCATAGGGTTAGGGTTCACCTTTTACGGTCAGGGTTCAGCAGGGTTTAGGGGTTTACGGTTTAGGGTTTAGGGCTCAGGGCCATAGAATTTTACGGGTGCTTTTTAGGGGTTTTGGGGTTGATAAACCCTCAACCCTACATCCTAACCAGGGGCTTGAGGGGTTGAGGGGCCTGTAGGGGTTAGTTAGCAGTGCCTTGTATTGTGGAGGTTTTACACTAGACCCTAAACCCAAACCCTACACCATAGGGTTAAGTTTAGGGTCCGGTTTAGGGTTCGGTTTTGGGGCTTAAGGCGTAGGGAAAAACCTAAACCCTCTAAACCCTTCACAACCTGTAAACCCTATAAACCCTATCCCTATCGATAGACCCTATAAACCCTATAATCAACTCTAAACCCTAACCCTAGACCCTTAATCCCAGGGTTTTTTCCACATTCGGGATGGTGCGAAGGCCACGAGTGCGAGCATCAGCGCCTGCGCCGGAGCTGGGCGCTGGCAAGAGGACACGCGGTTTAGGGTTTAGGGTTTAGGGTTTAGGGTTTAGGGTTTAGGGTTTAGGGTTTAGGGTTTGGGGTTTGGGGTTTGGGGTTTGGGGTTTGGGGTTTGGGTATCAGGGTTTTAACCCTTATAAGCCCTCAGCCAGCAGGCCTTGAGCCTTCTTGCCTCTTTGCCGGCGCTGCGGGTGCGGGCGCGCCTCGCCCCAGCCATTTAGGGCTTTGCAGTTGAGGGTTAGGCCCGGGGTCTTTTATGGATTCAGTCATAAGATGAGGGGGTGCAGGGTCAGAGTTTAGGGTCCTGGTGTTTGGCCACTACGTTCCTGAACGTTGTTTGTGTGTGTGTAGGGCTTCAGGCTCCCTAAACCCTGAACCAGAAAAGCTTCCCCTTTCTGGTCGCATTATGTGTGGGATGCTAGCTTATCATGCTTGTCTCCCAACCTGTGAAGATCTTTCTTCTACAGGCTACGCACAAAGTATATCCCCTGACTCGCGAATCCTTACTCTTCGCCTGAACCTAAACCTAAACCCCACACCCTAAACGAAAGGATTCTCCAGAGATGCAGATGCACCGACAACCCAAGCACGAAGGTTTAAGGTTTAGGGTTTTACACTTTAAACCAAGCGAGCCTGCAGAGGGTTTAGGAGGTTTTGGGTTCTCTGCTGAGCCAATGCTTGGTAGCCCAGGGTACAAGGTTCCCTTATCAAGTAACCAACCCAAAAACGGGTACCCCTATTACAGAATGGTTACTGGGATACTAGGAAAAGAAGCGATTGACTCTTGTATGGGCATACATGGGCCCCACAGGAGCGGCTTGAAGTATCCATGCATCATCATCATCATCACCATCATCATCATCATCAAGATCAAGACTGCGGCGCGACACAACAAAGCCTTTGAAGCAAGACCTTAATTCCAACCCTAAACCCTCGACCTTAAACCCTAAACCATGCATTCCTAAGCCCTCAGACCTGCACCCCTAAACCCTAAACCCTAAACCCTAAACCCTAAACCCTAAACCCTAAACCCTAAACCCTAAACCCCTGAGACCCTAGACCCTAGAGCCCCTCAAGGAATGCATTTGCCGTGAGTGCAGCTGCCACAGCCTGTGAGACAAGTGCGAGGTGGCAGGCGGAGCAGCGTTGAGCCTCAGGGTTTGGGTTTTAGGGTTTGGGTTTTAGGGTTTAGGGTTTAGGGTTTAGGGTTTAGGGTTTAGGGTTTAGGGTTTAGGGTTTAGGTTCTAGGTAGAACCAACGATCAGGGTTCCGGTCGTCTTGTTCGGAAGTGGTGTGCTGGCTACTCTGGGTGCGCCCCAAATCCTGCACCATTCATCCTCCTGGCCCCCGAAACCTTCAACCCCCAAACCCATATCCCCTTAGCCTCGTTAAACCTCCCAGTATCCCTAAGCCCTGAACCTCGTTGAGCGCTTATCGCGTCCTGTTCAACCCTAAACTAAACCCTAAACTGCTCAAACCGTAAACCCTAAACCCTAAGCCCCTCTACCCTAAACCCCTCAACCCCTAACCCACAGCTCGTAAACCTAAACCCCTAAACCCCTTAAACCCTAACCCCCTCAACCCCTAAACCCTGCAGCCTTCTGCCTAACCCCCTCAACCCCTAAGCCTAAACCCTAAACCCCGAAACCCTAAACCCCTAAACCCTAAACCCCAAACCCCTAAACCCTAAACCCTAAACCCCAACGCCGCGCCTACGAATGCAGGAGGCCCTGCTGCTGCTCGAAAGCTCCTGGGTGCCCCCTATGCTAGGGTTTAGGGTTTATGGTTTAGGTTTTAGGGTGTAGGGTTTAGGGTTTAGGGCTTAGGGTTTAGGGTTAGGGTTCAGGATTCACTGTTCAGGGTTCAGGGTTTGGGGTTGAGGGTTTCGGGTGTGTTTTTGAGTGGTGGTTCAGGGTTCAGGGCTTTACGGAACACTTCTCTCCTCACTCTAAGTCTAACACCCCGAAACTCTAGATTCTAAATCCCCGGTTCAGGGTTTTGGCCAAACTTCTCTTCGTTCAAGACTCAGGAACCCTTGCAACACCCGCAACCTTCGACTCTGGTTGAGGATTTAGAGTGCACGTAGGGTTTACGGACCCTAAACCTTAAGCCCTCCTACCCCACCAGCCCGAAACTCTAAACCGGAAACCCCAAACCCCCCTAAAGCCTTAAACACTAAACCCCAGACCCTAAAACCCTTAACCCCAAACCCCAAACCCTAAACCCTAAACCCCAAACCCCTAAAGCCTCAAGCTCGCTTACTTGCTGGGCAAGCCAAGGCTTGGATCACCACCAAGTAGAGCCAGACGTCGTGGCTTTCAGTGCCTTGGCTTCAGGGTTTTGGGTTTGGGGTTTATGGCTTAGGGTTGAGGGTTTAGGGGCATCAGAAACTAGGGTGGGTCTGGGGTTTAGTGTTTAGGCTTTAGGGGTTTCATGAGCCAGAGTTTAGGGTCTACAGGTGTCAGTAGCTAGGGGTTAGGGCTTATAGGGGTTTCAGAAACTAGGGTTTAGGGCTTAGGGTTTCTAGGAACTAGCTTGAGGGTATCGGCCACACACCGGCAACCCTGAATTCTCAACCCTAAACCCTAAACCATCAAGCTGCAGAGAGCTTCGGGTTTCCCGTGCAGGTGCCATCCTCAGCGCTTGCGAGAAGAGCGCGGAGCCGTGTCGCCAGAATCGTCTTGGGTTTAGGGTCTAACTCCTAGAGCCCTAAAAGCCTAAGCGCTCTAAGCCCTAACGCACTCGTGGCCTGCGAATCCTGGACGCTCTACAAAGTGGAAGTCCTTCGCCCTAAGCCCCAAACCCTAAACCCTAAACCCTAGAGCCCTGAAAGAAAGGAGTGGCAGCGGGCACTTCACCTGCTTGACCTGATCCGAGTGCGACGACCCTTGGGCTTGAAAAGTTGAGGCCTTCAGTAGCGGTTTTAAGGGGTTTAGGTTTAGGGTTTAGGGTTTAGGGTTTAGGGGTGTAGGTTTTCGGCTTGAAAGGTTCTGCGGTTTTGAGTGCTCAAGGGTATAGTTTTGAGAGGTGAGGGCTTAGCTATTCCCGACTTTCCTTAAGGGCTCAGCAGCAACCGTTTCGGGGTTTAGGGTTTAGGGTTTAGGGTTTAGGGTTTAGGGTTTAGGGTTTAGGGTTTAGGGTTTAGGGTTTAGGGTTTAGGGTTTAGGGTTTAGTGAGGTTGCGTGGGGCTGTGACCATGGCGCGCTCTTCAGCTGACGAAGCAACCCGTGAATCTCGAAACCCTAAGCACGGAGTCTTCAAGCCTAAACCATAAACCCTAAACCCTAAACCCTAAACTCTAAACCCTAAACCCCTACACTCTGCAGCCTAAGCCCTTCAACCAAAGCTGGGATGCCCAAAGCTCTCAACCCTACGCCGAACCGCTCTTGAACGCAATTCTAAGGTTTGGGTTTAGGGTTTAGGGTTTAGGATTAAGGGTTAAGGGTTTAGGGTTTAGGGTTTAGGGTTTAGAGTGTTGCGCGCAAACTTCAACTTCCGCTCTAGGGAATACAACCCCTTAAGGCTATGGGGACATCAGACGCCAAATTTTCCAGATTCCCGAATTCCCTTCTAAGAGACCGAAGCCCCAAGCCCAATACCCTAAACCCTAAACCCTAAACCCTAAACCCTAAACCCTAAACCCTTTTCCAGGCAATCCCTCATCCGCAGTTCGAAGAAGAGTAAACTTCACACTGGCCGAGACTGGCGATTGTAACCTAAGCCCTAAACCCTAAAGCCTAAATTCTAAACCCTCTACGTCCGTCGACTAGGACAATATGTGTGCATGTGTGGTATCACCGGCTGTGTCAAACCTTGAGGCGAAGCCCGGAACCCTAAATTCTAGATCCTAAGCAACCCTTAGACCCGAAGTTCCCAGCCTTTTGTCGAAGTACCATAAACCCTAAACCCTGAACCCTAAACCCTAAACCTAAACCCTGAACCCTAAACCCTAAACCCTAAACCTAAACCCTAAGCCCTAAACCCTAAACCCTAAACCCTGAACCCTGAACCCTAAACCCTGAACCCCAAACGGCGCGTGGAAGCCGTGGCACACCCAGGGCTGCAGCCGGCAGATGTCACCTACGGTGCAGCCATCAGTGCCTCGGATTTGGGTTTAGGGTGTAGGGTGTAGGGTGTAGGGTTTAGGGTTTAGGGTTTAGGGTTTAGGGTTTAGGGTTTAGGGTTTAGGGTTTAGGGTTTAGGGTTTAGTGTTGAGGGGTTTAGGGTTTAGGGTTTAGGGTTTAGGGTTAGCTCGATTGGGCTTATGGTCCAGGATTCAGGGCTTTGGCCTTGATATGCCATGCTTAGAGTTCAGGATCTAGGGTTCTACATGGCTCTCCATAGCCTTCACGGCTTATGGTGTGGGATAGAAGACTTAGACTTAGAACCGGATCCTTCGAACAGACCTCAAACCCTTGATCCCAAACGCTAAACACCGAACCCTTTGGCTAAGTTCTCTTGGCAGTCCCGTTGTATATGCCCTTTTGTTCCTTTTTGTTGGGGGTCAAGGTTCCCTTATAAAGTAACCACCCCCCCCTCCCACAAAAAAAAAAGTGCCCTTTTCATCATACTGGGCTACCAAGTTCTGAAAGCCAGATCCCAAACGCCCTAAAACCCTACACCCTACACCCTACACCCTAAACCCTAAACCCTAAACCCTAAACCCTGAGGTGCTTGTGAGAAAGGGGGCCAGTGGCAGCGAGCGCTGACCCTGCTTCAGGACCCGCTCCCTTTTTGAATACTATATGCTTAAGAACCCCCAAAGAACAACAAGACAAACACAAACCCCCTTATTACCCTTATAGGGAAGAATCTTCGGATCACATATATATATATATGTATACATACACATCATATATATATATATATACATCATTTATGGTGGGGTTCTTATGCAAATAGTAGCTTTGTGGCATTCATAGCGGAAGGTTTAGGGGTTAGATAGGGTACAAATTATGCTACTGGGTAGGTATGTTTATCACACTGCCGAGACCTAAACCCTGAACCTTGAATCCTGAACCCTCAACCCTCAACCCCCGCAAAACCCTAAACCCTGAACCCTCAACCCAAAACCCTACACCCTGAACCCTAAACCCTAAACCCTCAACCTTCCCTAAAAACGGGGCCATGAGCCTCTGAGTACAACTCCTGGATTCCGTGCGACAGGAGATGGCCCAAGGTCACTGGGGACCGAGCCTGCTTCTCGCACACGCAGTGGATGTGTGGGTTTAGGGTTCAGTGTTTAAGGTTTAGGGTTTAAGGTTTCAGGATTTAAAGGGTTGAGGGTTTTAAGGTTTCAGAGTTTAGGGTTTAAGTATAAGGCATCAGGGTGAATTTTGGGGTTTCAGGGTTTGGGTTTAGGGTTTCAGGGTCTAGGGTTTATGGTTTCAGGGGTTAGGGGTTCGGGGGTTCAAGGTTTCAGGGTTTAGGATAGTTTAAGGCTTAGGGGTCTAAGTATTCAGTGTGTATCGTGTAGGGTTTCATTGTTGAGGGGTTTAGGGGTTAAGGGCTGAAGGGTTTAAGGTTTCTTTCGGGGTTTAGAGCTTAGGGGCTTAAGGGCTTCAGCGCTCAAGGGTTTGAGGGTTGAGGTTCAGGTATTAGGCTCGGTTGCTGAAAGGTTGAATAAAGGGTTTCGGGCTCAGAGGGCGAAAGGTGTAAGCGGACCCTAAGCCCGGACCCTAAGCCCTAAACAGTGTTCAGGGCAAACAATCCCCAAGCCCACAACAACCCAACCCCATCCTCCAACCCCAAGCCCCAAACCGCCGACTCCGCACCATCTGCCCTAAAACCCCTTTAAAGCCCTAACCCTAAACCCTAAACCCTAAACCCTAAACCCTAATAACTAATAACCCTAAACCCTAAGAACCTCTACAAGCCCTAATCCATGAAACCCTGAAGCCCTGGGCCACATAACCCAAAAGCTCTACCACGGCTTGGAGGTTCGTGGTACCTATTCTTAGAACACTATTCCCCACCTAAGAAAGGCTTAACAGTGGGACACGCACACACAGATATATATATATATATATAGTTTGTATGTATGTATGTATATATATATATATGCTCACCCCCCCCCCCCCCAATGGACCAACCGCGAAATGGAAAAGAAGTCCAAAAATCCAAATTTCCAAAAATCCAAAAATCCAAAGTTCCCCGGACAATCTCCCAGGAAACTTTGGATTTTTGGATTTTTGGATTTTTGGATATTTAGATTTTTTGTGCTTTTTTTTGTGCTTTTTTGTGCTTTTTCGTGCTTTTTTGTACTTTTTGCACTTTTTGCACTTTTTTGCACTTTTTGCACTTTTTGCACTTTTTGCACTTTTTCGTTTTTTTTTGCACTTTTTGCACTTTTTTTCGTTTTTTGCACTTTTTTGTGCTTTTTGTACTTTCGCAATGTTTTTGCAAATATTTATCCTCTTGAAAGTGCTTTTCCAATCGAAAAATCCAAAAATCCAAAAATCCAAAAATCCAAAGTTCTCCGGACAATCCCCCAGGAAACTTTGGATTTTTGGATTTTTGGATTTTTGGGTGCGGGGGTGAGCTCTTACATATATTCCGTCTATAAATATATAGTATATGTAAGGTAATTCCCATATTATGTAAGCACATGCTTCTTCAGCACAGATTGACACAGGAAGTGCAAGTGCGAACGTATGCAAGCAGTGAGTTGTGTCTCAAGTTGTTGCTGTCAGTGTAGTAGCCAGTGTCTCGGCCCACGATCTCATCATGTTGGAGTCTGGCGAAGTCTCCATGCAGGAAGTGAAAGAGCACGTAGCCAAGTTGAAACTCTACACCATCGATGTGCATCAGTTCGTCGAGTCCAGTCCTGGTCCCTTAAACGTTTTGGATCTGCCCATCCTGGACTTTCCTGAATCGGGGTTCGTGAAATGCGTCGTCGATGTTGTCATGGACGTGCCTACCTTTTCACCGAGTGAGTTGAAGAACAGCATTCAGTCCAAGGAGTTCAGCAAGCTACCACTGCCTTTCGGATTGAAGACGGCCCCGTCGGGAACCTTCCGGATCGACATCGCAGTCCTTGCACAAAACAATGGGAAGTACGCAGTCATCAAACTCATTAACCTTTCCGAGAAAACAAAAGTCAGCGTCGTCCGTGACATGTGCTGTGGCAAGCCTCATATCGTTGACTGGTCGGGTGATATCAAGACGGTCAAGAAATGCTTGCACTATCTCTTCGAGCAAATGGGGGGGTTCCAGTGCCGCCATCACGTTCTTCGTACACAAGAAGAAGGTAAGCCCGAGCAAGAACGCTCCATAGAAGAGTGGGATCGAGGCTTCGACTACATCGAGGCACATGGGCCCAGAGACAATACTCGGAATCGGATGCTTCGTTGGGTGACAATCCAGACATCATCAAGGGACTCTCCTCTCCATCGTTGGTCGCCTGTGCTAGTGGAAAAGAGTTTGCGAAATCTAGCTCAGGATGGAGTTCTGGCACAAGTGCATGAAGTGTGGCCATTAACTCTCTACGACTTGGATGTGAGGTTTCTCAATGCTCTGGGTCCTCTCTTTGCATCTTTGTCGGAAAAAGCACTCGGCTTCCACGGCGTCCCAGGCGCAGGGAAAACACCAGTGGCAAGGTCCATTGCCATGGCTCTATCGAGGTACTGGATTACTAAGCTCGGCAAGTCAGATGAGGTCAAAGCATCATGTCGCCAAGCCTCCGAGTTTGATTTCTTTCGAGGAAACTCGGCAAAACATGTTTAAACGAGTTCTTTGATTTACAATCAAAGGGTTTTCTAGGCTAAAAATATCTCTAAGGCCAAGTCGGTACCGCCATGAGGCCTGACATCTTCGACGATGGCTCGCTGTGTGAGCAGCCGTTTAAGAAGGTAAAGGCTTTCACCGACGTCGGCAACATTGAAAGCATGTCGAAGGAGAGGTGGGGTGCAGCAAAATGGGTAAAGGGGCAGACGCGAATTTACTGCGTGAACGACTTTGATGTGAAAGCAGAGCCGAAGCTCAACCAACCCTTGCTTGAAATCGAGAATGGAGTGCCTTCCTATGTCAGCCACGACGAGTTTATGAAAATGCTCGAGTCCGCATGGTGTTCGAAAGATCTCTCAGAAACAAACATCATGGCAGTCCTGAAGCGCACACATGTCTTTCTCAACACATCCCAGTGCCTCTACATCCGCCCAGCGAGTGAGGTGGCAACCCCAGTGATTCGCATACCTCTTGGCAAGAAAACCGACTTGCTCCATGCAGAGTCGAGGGGAGTGTACGACTATCACAGGAAGGGAGGAGTAGACTTGCCTGCAGACTTCGAGGAGAAGGTTGAGTGGGAGGCCAACTGGGTCAAAAAGGCTATGGCAGGAGACGTCGCAAACTTACCGAAGAGAGTCACCATCATCAGCCGAGGGAGCCCTTTCGGATGTGCAGCCTCGAGACCAGAGCCTTCGCAGCACAACCCAGTCGGAATCAACATCGCAGAGGAACTTCGCCGAAACATGACGCTGCCGCCAACCCTCCCCAAGCCCCATGCAAACACAGCCTGTGCCGCGGCCAGTGCTTCAGCGAGTGCAGACGGCGCTGCATCAAAAGCTGCAATCCCACCCGTCAACAGCACACCCACACGCAAGCCAATGGCAGTGAAGCAAGAGATTCCATCAAATGTGTTCCGCTCCTTGTCTGCCGTCAATGTGGTCATTGACTTGGATGACTCACCCTCGCCAGTACGCAAGCCGTCAGTGAGCAAGGTGCCCGTAAACGTCACGACTATCAGCAAGCCCTCCACAGACATGTCAGAGCATGCCGGTGCACCGGACGAACTCGAAGGACTCAGTCAAGACCTGGAGAAGCTCTTAGAGCAAGAGATGGAGTACATGGAAGACGACCTCCGTCGGGAAGCAGAGGATGAAGCAGGGGATATGTCGTGTGATCTCGAGGGAGTGCCGGGAGCAGATGCTCAGGATGAGAGGGATGCTCATGATGAGATGGATGTCGAAGAGGGCATGTAGATACCGCAGTATCGTCTCTTCGCTTGTGCAATCCCAGGGTATGGGAGAAAGGTGGCAGAACAGTTTTGAGTCTCGCAGACGCACATGCCACATGAAGCATGACAAACAGCAGCTAAACATACACAATAAGTAGATCATGCTTTTAATGGCTGTTTTATAGTAATCGTATTGTCTCATCGCATGTATAATCCCAGGGTGTGGGAAGGAAAGGTGGTAGAACAGTTTTGAGTCTCACTGCTAGCACCATGGAAAGCACGCTCCACAGCAAAAGTCTCCGAGCGTGCTTCTGTCGTTTTTTTATCTTGCACATGCACACAGCACGGGTCCCATCACTCACAAGTGTGTCGTCTGGGTCGTTTAGTTTTGATCAAACCGGTTGTACAGCAAGTGTGCTTCTTGCCCCACATGCCGAAGAAAATCAAGAAGGCTATGAACTCGTCTCCTTCCTCGTGGCCGTCATCGAAACGAGGTAAGCAAAGAGCTTTGAAGAAGCCAGCAAATGCGACCAAGAAAAAGTTCGTCAAGGTGAAGTATGTTCGACACGGCACTCCCACTGTCAAGAACACACTCGACAAGCAGAAGTGGCACCGCTCGGTGCAAGAGCTTGCCAACATGGAAGAAGAGTCTCTGCTCGCACTACTTGAAAAAGACAACATCATTCAGAAGTGGAAAGGCAAGTCATGTCCTCATTGTGGCCAAGGTGTTCTCAAACCACGCTACTTCGACTCATGCAAGCAAGCATCGGTTTATCGCTGCAACAAGAAATCATGCATGCGGCGCATTTCCCCACATGACTTCCATCCTATTTTTATCTGTGGTCGTGGTCACACTCCTCTGGGAAAGCAAGCTGCACTCCTTCTATGTGCTGCAGCAGGGGTCCCATCGGTCTCGGCTCACCTCATTCTCGATGTGGATGACAAGGTAGTGAACACCATTTACACCAACTACGACATTGCAAGATCCCAGTTCGTCATGGAAAGAGAAAAAACTATTACCTACGGACAGTGGCATGATGTCGAGGCAGATGAGGTGGACCTAGGAAAAGGGGAGGATCAGAACGCGTCCAGTGCAGTGAAGAAAGTGCAATGGGAACAATGGGGAGGGCTAGTTGAACGAGGTCGGCCCGATTCGCTGATGCTCTTTCGCCTGAAACCAGCTCTGACACACAAGCGAGCACCAGGCCCAGGTGCAATCAGAAAGCGTGATTGGGTCCCTATCGCACGCAAGCACTTGCACAACAAGCAAGTTATCCTTCACACAGACGGAGCCCGCGCTTGCAAGATGAAGATCCCCAATGTCATCCACTGTAACGCGGTGCGCAAAAAAGTTCGAAAGCTCGTGCGTGGAAAAGCCACTAGGTAGCATTTTTTTGTGTTCAGTTTGTTATGTATTTGCAACCAAGTTCTCTTAATATCTGTAGGTGTGTCAACATGCTTTGCCTAAGGCCACATGAGCAGCGGTTTTTTTTTTACGGCTCTTGAGAGATACTTATATGCGGAAATAACTCCGGGAACCGGGGCGTGAAAGTGCACGGAACTGTGGCCGCGGAAGCACGCGGAAGGGTTGCGGAAGCACATCTCCGCGGAAGCTCCCGCGGAAGCGACGATAGAAACAATTTTGGTTTGAGTGCTTGTTATATTCCAGGAGGCTAGTGGGCGTGTTGTTTGGTGTGGGTTTCGGAAGTCTGGTTCCGAGTGGGTTATGCAGATTGGTGTTTTCTGGGAGTTTTGCGGTTACAACCCTTCGTACGAAAGCATGGACGCAGTTCGGAATAAGGCTTCTTTTGAGACCCTAAGCTTCCTACACAAAGTTTTTAAAAAAGCCCTAAACCCGTGTAAACTCTCAACCCCAAAGCAAGCAAGTCAGATTTTCAGGCTTGAGCGCCCCCAAACCTGGCTTCGAGGCCTTCTATCCGTGAAGTTTGATGCGAACTCGGCGGAAGCGCCGCGGAAGCTCCGCGGAAGCTCCGCGGAAGCTCCGCGGAAGCTCCGCGGAAGCTCCGCGGAAGCTCCGCGGAAGCCCGCGTGCCCATCTGAAGGCCCAGGCCCTTCCTACTGAGTCCATGTTCTTGAAAGTAGATGGTACCGCTGCGCAGCTGCTGCCAGCTCAAGCTGCAGCATTCTCATGGAACGCGTGTCTCATCGTGTAGTCTCAAAGTTCCAGACGCGTGTTCGAGTTTATATCTTACGGACCTACTCGCGGAAGCAAGTTTCTCAAAAATGCGCGAAATTAGTCCGCGGAAGCGTCCGCGGAAGCAAAGGAAGCGGACGAGCAGAAACAATACTCGCGGAAGGACCGCGGAAGGGTTCCGCGGAAGGGTTCGTTATTTCATAGAAAATCTTCTAGGAATAAAAACCACGGCTCACATGGGTCAACCCGACGTACACGAAGGTTTACACGGTCAAGATTCCATCCGGTCCAACGTTGAAAGTGAAATCGGGCACCCAGATCATCGACCGCTTTTGGGGACATCTCCGGAAAACTCTCAAGTTCGTGTCTCGAAAGCCGGGGAATCCTATCATGAATCGCAAGATCCGGGTAGCACAGTTCACGTACTGGTACAAAAACCAGAACATGTGGACAGTCACGGGGAGAATGCTGCGCGCTTTGTTTGATAAGTAGGGTTGAGAAGGCGCACCGCCCATCGTCCAGTCTTACTGCAAAGCAGAAACTCACCGACCTCCAAATTTTGTATGCAGATCCTGCGACCAGAGGCCACACCGCGAAAGTGAAAGGGTGCCAGAGTGCCTGCACGGGTATTGAGTAGTGGCAGCTATATAAGCCTCTTATAAGCAAAGAAAGCCCAAAATACAAAAATCCAATCCCAAAATCCAAAAATCCAAAGTTTCCTGGGAGATTGCCCGGAGAACTTTGGATTTTTGGATTTTTGGATTTTTGGATTTTTGGATTTTGGGATTGGAAAGCACATTCAAGAGGACAAATATTTGCAAAAATATTGTGAAATTAAACAAAAGCACAAAAAAGCACAAAAAAGTGCAAAAAAGTGCAAAAAGTGCAAAAAAGTGTAAAAAAGTGCAAAAAGTGCAAAAAGCACAAAAGTGCAAAAAGTGCAAAAAAAAGCAGAAAAAAAGGCACAACAGATGACAAAAAGCACAAAAATGCACGAAAAAAAGCACAAACAAAGCACAGGAAGCACAAAAAGCATAAAGAAGTAGACAAGGAAAGCATGGCAGGGTGCAGTGTCTCGAGAACCTTATACATGTCGATGTGTGTCCATTGCGGTTGGAGGTTGGTCCATTGGGTGGGGGCGACCATATATATATATATATATATATGTATGGTTCAGCGTCGGGCGTTCCCGGCCCCCCCCCCCCCCATGGTATCCCCCCCCCCCCCCAGTCTACTCTTTGGTCCCTAAACCCTAAACCCTAAAACCTAAACCCAAAACCTTAAGTCTTAAACCTTAAACCCTAAACCCTAAAACCCTGAACCCTAAACCCTAACCCTAAAACCAACCCCCAACCACACCACAGGGGGGGGGGGGTATCATCTTAGTACCCCATCCGCGGGGAAAACCCTAAACCCTAAACCCTAAACCCTAAACCCTAAAACCTAAACCCTAAAACCCTAAAACCCTAAAACCCTAAAACCCTAAACCCTAAACCCTAAACCCTAAACCCTAAAACCCTAAAACCAACCCCCAACCACACCACAGGGGGGGGGGGGGGTACCATTGGGGGGGGGGGGGGGGGGGGGGGGGGGGGGGGGGGGGGGGGGGGGGGGGGGGGGGGGGGGGGGGGGGGGCCCGCCGGGGCTGAACCATATATGTATGTTTTTCTTATATACATACACTTATAAGTGGGTTAGGCATACATATATATATATACACACTTGTAATTGAGGTATAAGGACCCTGAACCAACCTCCAAGAAGCCACCTCTCCCGCGACCAGCTGCAGCCCAGAATTGCCTGCAGCGCCGCCATCTCCGCTTGCGAGACGCCTGGGTGAAGAAATGCGAAGCTATAGAGGATCCGAGAGAGCGTTTAGGGTTTAGGGTTTAGGGTTTAGGGTTTAGGGTTTAGGGTTTAGGGTTTAGGGTTTGCAGGTTTAGGGTTTAGGGTTTGCAGGTTTAGGGTTTAGGGTTCATCGGTTTAGGCTGAGGGGTTAGGGTTTAGGTTTCGGGCCTGTGCTTCCTCCCAACAAACACAGGACCTCAGGCCTGTGACTAAGGTTTTGGGAGAAACCAAATCTATGGATATAGGGTACTGTATTTGGAGCCTTTGCGCGTGGAAGTTGACACGCTGACATGACTTGAGCATTGAGGGCTTTGGGTTAAGCGTTCGGGTTTGGGGCCTTAGGGTTCAGGGCTTGAAATTCATAAAGCTAAAGCTATGCTACAAATCCGAAACCCAAAACCTCATGGATTTAGATGTCAGGTAGAGGGCTTTCTTGGAATCCCTGTTGACTTGGTAGGGTTAGCGGGATATGGGGCCTGGGGGGATACGAAGTAGACTTCCTAAGTCAAAAAAGCGTCTAAGTGCTTCAACGTTCAAGTGGTTTAGGGTTTAGGGTTTAGGGTTTAGGGTTTAGGGTTTAGGGTTTAGGGTTTAGGGTGTACAACAAACCCTTTAGGGTGTAGCAAAACCCTAAAACTGACCCTATCAAACCATTCGCCCGGAACCCTAAATTAGACCCTCTAGACCCCTACACACTGAACCCTACATTACACCCTACAAGCTTGAACCCTTTGAACCCTAAATATCATCCTATAAACCCACATTCCTGGTTAAACCCGAAACCCAAAGCCCGAAACCCAAAGCCCCAAAGCCCAAGCCTAAACCCTCTGAACCCTAAACCCTATAAGCCCTAAACCCTGAACCCCAAGCATCCAGGAAAGCGGGACGGTGGGAGATGGCGCTGGCCTTGCTACAAGACATGGAGCAGAGCGCCTCGCACCTACTTAAAGCAAGGAAGAGAACCGTCAACCCTCAACCCTCAAGCCTAAACCCTAGACCCAGGTACAGGCAAACTTTGAAGATTGAGCCCCCGCGCCCTAGGTTGGGGTAGAAGTGGTATCAGTCCCTGGAACTCTAGTTACTACAGTAAGCGAAACACTGTTGTCCGCTATTCGCTTCAGGGACCCAAGCGCATGAAGAAGAACAATCCCTTTATTGCCCTAGTAAGGAAGAATATTTTACAGTTTTTGGGTGGTTCTTCAGCAAATAGTAGCTTAAATAGGGGGCTTTAGACTCCAGAGCAGGTATCATTTGCATACTTGAAACCTTCGAGCCTCAGCCCCGTAAACTTTATGAACCCTATCTTCGCATATAAACCCTGTAGACCCTTTGAATCACGCCTGAAACCTTTAAACCCTACAGACCCCATAAACCCTGTAAACGAACCCTTTAAACCCCCATAGACCCCATAAGCCCCATAATCCAGAAACTCTGTACACCCCCAAACCCCAGAATCCCTGTAAACCCTGTAAACCCTCTAAACCCCATAAACCCCACCAATCCTTATAAAACCCATAGAACGCCAGAAAGCACTCCCGAAGGCGACATCCAGGTCGATGTGATCGCCTTCAACGCCGCCATCAGCAGCTGCGAGAAAGCTTCCGTCTGGGAGTGGGCCTTGGTGCTGCGGCTTTGGCTGCAGGGTTTAGGGTTTAGGGTTTAGGGTTTAGGGTTTAGGGTTTATGGTTTAGGTTTTCGGGTTTGGGGTTTTGGGTTTAGGGTTTTGGGTTCTGAACCCTAGGAAGCATCCTCGAAACCCTAAGCCCTACACCCGAGAAGCCCAAAACCCCTACCTAGAAGGCTCCCTTTGACATAGCAAGTCTACTTAGTATCCCCTAGAAGCCCGATTACAATCACCGTGCTAGGGTTTAGGGCTTAGGGTTTCGGGTTTGGGGTTTGGGGTTTAGGGGTTTAGGGGTTTAGGGGTTTAGGGGTTTAGGGGTTTAGGGTTTAGGGTTTAGGGTTTAGGGTTTAGGGTTTAGGGTTTAGGGTTTAGGGGTTTAGGGGTTTAGGGGTTTAGGGTTTAGGGTTTAGGGTTTAGGGTTAGTGCTTCCAAGTAAGCCCTAGACCCTAAACGTCACCACAATGTATCGTCAAAGGTCCGAGAAGGTTCGGCGTTGTCAACAACTCGGCGGTCCTCCAACCCTTGGCACCCTGAGCCCTGAACCAACAAAAGCCTATAGCCACCGATGTCCCAGCCGTCTGCCCGAAACGCTACCCTAAACCCTAAACCCTAAAACCCTAAACCCTAATTCCTAAACCCTAAACCCTAAACCCTAAACCCACACATCCTAATGAGGCAAGGGAACCAAGCAGAAGGCTTTACAGGGTTTAGAAGTTGGGTCTATCGGTCTTCGTGCTATGGTAAAACTGCCTCTGCGGTTACGTGGGTTTAGGGTTTAGGGTGTAGGGCTTACCACCCACAACGAAGAACACCACCTTGCAGCCTTTTTTCCTTATGCTTGTGGTCTTAAAGCCCAGCAACCCTAGACACTCTGGGTTGAATGACGGCGAAGGCACCACCAGACCCTCAATCCAAAACCCGAAGACACCTAAGCCAAGCCGCAGGCACCCTCCTGCCCTAGGCCTCCAAACTGCTCGTAAGCATTGCCAATCTATGAAGCAATATTCAGGCTTTGGTGGGTGTATCTAGGGTTCAATAACATTGTGATAAAGAAAAACTAACTGCTTGCTCCCTTCACATCCGTTAGAGGCCAACGAATTTGAGCATGTCACCGGGACAGGCTAACTCCAAAGGCCTGAACTGAAACACGAAGTTTCAGCCCTGTACCCGAACACGAAACGCTTCAAAGCCCCAAACGCGCATACCATAAAGTCCAAATCTTAAGCCCTTAAGCCACAAACCCTGAAACCTGAAAGCTTCAACCTAAACAAGAAACACCAACACCCCAAAACACAAAGCACAGAAACCTTAAGCCTCAAACCCTACAGCACCAGATCTCGAACCTATGTCCGTAATTGAGCCTCTAAGGACTCTTACTTTCGGGTTCTTGACCCGAGAAGCTTTCGTGTACAAGGTTGTGGGCTATTTTGTGACTCACCCTATCTAGGCCCTGAACCCCAAACCCTAAGCCTTAAACCCTAAACCCTAAACCCTAAACCTTAAGCCCTAAACCCTAAATCCCAAACCCCAAATGGCTTAACCCTCTCTTGTTCTCAAGGCTTGGGCTCGTGGAGGGACGGAGCCTGGAGCCACATGAGTCTCTTCGATGGAAGTATGGGCATTTCGGGGCTTGGTTTTGAGGTTTAGGGATCAGGGTTTAGGGTTTAGGGTGTAGGGTTTAGGGTGTAGGGTTTAGGGTTTAGGGTTTAATTCGGGTCTATGGATGTTTAGGGTGTCTGGTTTCAGGGCTTAGGGATGTACAGCTTTCAGGGTTTTAGGGCTTGGGGGGATTTCGGGTTTTGGGCTTTGGGGCTTCAGGGTTTCAGCCTGAGGGTTTTAGGGTTATCACGGGGCTCTTCCTTGGACCCCTAAAGGTTGTGCCCTTGGGTTGGGAGGGGCCCTTCAGGGTTCAGGGTTCAGGGTTTAGGGTTTAGGGTTTAGGGTTTAGGGTTTAGGGTTTAGGGTAAACCCTAAACCCTAAACCCTAACCCCCTAAACCCAAGGAAATCTGAGGATAAGGCCCAAGGGCCATTGTAAGAGTATATTACGGGAACCTCTTAGGGGCACATCCTTAAGGTGTTCGAGTATGACTCCCTTGAGTGTAGAGCTTTGGGTGTAGGTTACCTTTGCCCGAAATCCGTCCCTAAACCCTAAACCCTAAACCCTAAACCCTAAACCCTAAACCCTAACCCATTAACAAAGGGAAGAATCCTATAGGCATGCCTTGGGGTACTAGAATCCCTATTAAAATATGTGATCCGTAAACCGTAAACCCTTCTAAGGGGTCATTGGGTCCCCCAGGTACCCTAAAGCTCCATGTACCATACTCGTATACACTTGGGCCCTAAAGTCCCTATTTAGGAAGTATGTTGATGCCCAAGTATTCCCTAATTAGGTACATGGACCCTGAGGGCAGGGGATCCTCCACGAGGATCACGTTCAACGCGGCCATCAGCGCCTGCGAGAAGCGGCGTGAGTGGGTCTGGGCGTTCGTGCCTTGGTGGTTTTGGCTTAGGGAGGCTTGGGTTTTGCCTACTTTGCCGGGTGTGAAGGCCTTAATTAAGGTTTTAGGGTTTAGGGTTGTAGGGTTTTAGGGTTTTAGGGGTTTAGGGGTCCGGGGTTTGGGGTTTTTGGGTTTTTGGTTTTTTGGGTTTTAGGGTTTAGGGTGTATGGGCTGAGGGGTTCAGGATCAGGGCTTCGGGGGCTGAAGCTGAAAGTTTAGGAACGCGAGGCAGCAGCAGTCCATGGGTACTGCCTAGGTCCGTGCGAGCCCCAGGTTTAGGGTTTGGGGTTTAGGGTTCAGGGTTTAGGGTCCCTGTGATATTGAGCACGGCGTCTCCGGCTCACATCCACCACTGCCCTACACCCTCAGCTTGGGATGTTCTGCGACCCTAAACCCTAAACCCTAAACCCTAAACCCTAAACCCTAAACCCTAAACCCTAAACCCTATACTAACAGTCCTTCATAGGGATTATCATATGGGGTACTCGATTCCCTACACAAGAATGTTAGCACAAGGGGGGACATTCCAACCCTCAGCCTTTAAATTTGGTTGAGGCTTACAGGGTTTATAGGGCTCGCTGTTTAGGGTTTAGGGTTTAGGGTTTAGGGTTTAGGGTTTAGGGTTTAGGGTTTAGGTCTTACAGTACCTGAGGTGTAGAAAAACGGCTGAGAGGCTTCTAGGGCTAGGGCAGATAGGTTTTCTGCAGGGCTGGCGTCGTCTCGTATGTGTACCTTGTGCCTTATAGTGGTTCCCATATAGCAGCTTTAGGGCCCAAGTATGTACTACGTAGGTACCATGAGCCACGAATTCCCTCTGAAACAAGAAGCGGGACCTCTGCCACCTCAGGGTTCGTGCTCTTGTGCAGGAGCTGCTGCGTGAGGCCCAAGCGCGACTGGTACGACTCAGAGTCTCAGATGGGTTTAGGGTTTGGAGTGCAATTGGGATTCAGGATTTTGGGCTGAGGGCTCTAAGGCTTTAGGGTTAAAGGGTGTTGGGTTTCAGGTTTCGGGCTAAGAAAAATTCCCAAACCCACACCCCCTCAAACACCAAGCGCCCTGGGACGCACCCGTCATCTCAGGCGCTGTGTCCTTCAATGCTGCCATGGGCGCTTGCAACTCCATCGCGGCCGGGTGAGGGTCTAGGGTGTAGCAGTTCAGGATATAGGGTTTAGGATTCCCCTTAAGAACCCAACACACACATTTTTGTAGGTTATTGTCATAACAACCCCTCAAAAAAGGAGTCCTGGGCAACCCACACGAAAAGTATGTCGTGGGTTCTTAAGCTAGGGTTCATCAAGGGACTCAGGGAGGAACCCTTAAAAAGGACCTTCGGGGTGATTTAGGGGCTACTTAGGTATACAGGGACGATGTAAGGTCTATATAGGGGTGGCTACAGAAGGCAACACGATTTTAGGGGTTCCTCCTCCCTTAGTAGGACCCCTAAACCCTATACCCTACAGCAAGCTCTAAGCCCTGAGGTGTTATGAGATTAAGGGTCCCTCCTTACAGCTCTTAAGTTCTAAAACCCTAAACCCTAAACCCTAAACCCTAAACCCTAAACCCTAAACCCTAAACCCTAAACCCTAAACCCTAAACCCTAAACCCTAAACCCTAACCCCTCCTTACAGCTCTTAAGTTCAACAACACACAGATAGGCTTGGCAGCAAGCGCTGGTCCTTCTCGCGGCCTTGTGCCGGAGCGACATCCGCGAGGAGTGGGCTTCCGAGCCCTAAACCCTAAACCCTCAACCCTAAACCCTAAACCCTAAACCCTAAACCCCCCTCCCACCCCCCTAAACCCCAAACCCCAACACCTAAACCCTAAACCCTAAACCCCAAAACTTCAGGACATCGTGTCCTACAACGTGGCCATCTCGGTGTGCGAGAATCTCCGGCTGCAAGTGGGCCCAGGGGCCACTGCAGGCCTTCTTGGCATGAAGCATTGGCTTAGGGTTTAGGGTTTCGGGTTTCGGGTTTAGGGTTTAAGGTTTAGGGTTTAGGGTTTAGGGTTTAGGCTCTAGGGTTAGCTTCCCTTATAAGAGTCTTAGAAGTGGCACATACAAGCCCACTGTTGATCAAAGGTCTCCGGAGACAGAAACAACCCACCTGAGGGACCCACCTGTAGTCTGTCCTTTAGACAGTGTTTAGGGTTCCTCTCGTTTGGGCACTGGAGTAGAGCACTTGTATAATTTGCTGGCATTCCGAGTTCTACTCAAAAGAGCCCTTGCAAGTTTCTATTCCTGGGGCGGTACTTCACAGCTCGAATGAAGGTTTTCTACCCGTCTAGTGTTCGATTCCTAAACTCTAAACTCTAACCCCTAAACCCTAAACCCTAAATTGGGAGCTTAGGTTTTTTGTGGCTCTTGGCACTTGGCCTTCAAGGGCGTCATACTATGACCCCTCAGGGTGTACCCCCCTTAGAGGTTGCCTCAATATGCTCCGAAAATGGCCCTTCTATTTAGGGGATCTTGAAAATTGGCCCCGCCAAAGCCCAAGGTACAACCTTAGCGGTCCAAGCGAGAACCCGCTGGGGCCTGGAGTTTTGGGCTGGCCCTAAACCTTAGACAGCCTAAACCCTACAAGGGTTCCCGAATTTCAATGAAGCCACACTTCCAGGTTTAGGGTTTAGTTCGGCGGGAATGCACACGGGAGTTCTTTGGGGTTTGGGTTCATGCTTCAAATCAAAGTTTGTATCATTTGCAATGGGCTGCCCTTCGTTACCTCCGAGGGCCTGCTGCCCTTCTCATGGCTCACCACGCGAAACGCGCTACGCGTGCTAAGTGCGAAGAGACACTTTCACAAAGATGCCGCTGCAAAAGGCTGGAACCCCTGGGCAGTATGGGGTGATGGTGCTTTGCTGGGTACTGCAGTGGCACACGACAGGCCCCCTCAGGGGCAGCGTCGACGAGGGGTGACAGTGGAGTGGGTGCCGGCTGCAGTTCGCATTTCCAAGATCAAACTCAAGGAAGTCTTCCAGACTAGATGACACGGATGACAATGACGATTTCGATGATGCCTAGAGTCACAGGGTTGCTAGTTTTGGGTTCGCATGGGGCTGCGTGTCCTATCACCCAACCTCCCCTAAGGCACCCTAAAACCCCTTCAACCCTAGACCCCGTAAACAGTAGGCCCCCGAAGCCCTAAACCCGACCTAAACCTCAGACCTTGCAAACCCTGACGGAACTTTCATAAGCTTTTAACTAGGCCTTCCAAGCTCGGCAAGCCCTGATAAGCCCTCATAAACCCATACAACTTCACGAAGCCCGAAACCCTAGACCCTAAACCCTAGACCCTAAACCCTAAACCCTAACCCCTAAACCCTCAAGGAAGACTGGGCAATGGCAGCTGGCCCTCCAGTTGCTGGAGCAGGCTGCCTGCAGCAAGCTGCAGCCAGTGCCTGTGGATCGCGCTTGGAGGGTTTAGGGTTTAGGGTTTAAATAGGGTTCAGGGTTTAGGGTTTAAGGTGAGGGTTTAGGGTTCAGGGTTTAGGGTTTAGGGCTTAGAGTTGCTCTGATGAACCAACCCTAAATCCTAAACCCTATACCCTGAACCCTGATCCCTAAACCCTAACCTCCGAAACCCTAAACCCTGAACCCTAAACCCTAAACCCTAAACCCTAAACCCAAAACCCTAAACCCTAGCCTCCGAAACCCAAAACCCTAAACCCTAAACCCTAAACCCCAACCTCCGAAACCCCAAACCCCCGGATGTACTAAGCCACGAGGATGGCATCACCTACCTCGCAGCATCCAGCGCCTGCGAGAAGGCCCCTCTAGGGGTTTAGGGTTTAGGGTTTAGGGATTAGGGTTTAGGGTTTGGGGTTTGGGGTTTGGGGTTCAGGGGCTTGAGGTTTAGGCTTTGAGGTTTGGGGTTTAGTGTGTGTGGGGTTAGGGTTATTAGGGTTTGTTTGGGTTTAGGGTTTAGGGTTTAGGGTTTAGGGTTTAGGGTTTAGGGTTTAGGGTTTAGGGTTTAGGGTTTAGGGTTTAGGGTTTAGGGTTTAGGGTTTAGGGTTTAGGGTTTAGGGTTTAGGGTTTAGTTTTTTTGGGGTTTAAGGTTTCGGGTTTGGGTTTTGGGCTGCAGGTTTTGAAGTTTGGGGCTTTGTGGTTTCTACATAGTCTTGGTGTTTTTTTTCGGCCTTGGGCTTCATTCCACGAGAGCAGCCCCCCCCCCCCCCTGTTAGCCTTAGGTCACTGAGCAGCTTTTTGGCCTTGGTTCGCAGCAAAAGGCCTCTGCACCGATTAGGGTTTAGGGTTGAGGGTTTGGGGTTTAGGGTTTAGGGCTAGGGTTTAGGGTTTACTTGGAGGTTCATGCTACTTGATAACCCAATCATAACTGTATTTATAGCCCAATTACAACCCTGTCAGGGTACTTAAGGGGCTTAGAAGTGGGCTATAGTTACACTTCTCATTGGGTTAGTTAGTTGCATTTAAGGGGTTGAAGCCTAGACATTAAAGCGTAAAATCCTAAACCCAGTAAAGCCTATAAACCCCAGACCCTAAACCCTTGTACGTGGGATCCTAGCTGCTGGTGTTCTGAGCCTGTCAGCCTGAAGGAAAATTTGAGGCTTCAGGGCTTCTCGGCCCAAACCCCAAACCCTAAACCCTCAAACCTAAACCCCAAACCCTAAGCCTTAACCCCAAACCCTGAAGCAACCCTAAACCCTAAACCCCAGACCCCAAACCCTCAACCCTCAACCCTCAACCCTCAACCCTCAAGCCCCAACCCCAAACCCCTGTTGAGGGTTTTGAGGATGCGCGTTGGGCCGCGGCTCTGTGGCTTCTCACAGCTGCGCGCGTGGCCCGCGCGGCTGTGGACCCGTTGCTGCCACACAGCTGAAGCCGGAGGGTTTGGGGGTTTGGGTTTTTTTAGGGTGTTTTAGGGTTGTTTAGGTTTTTAAGGGTTTTTAAGGGTTTTTAGGGTTTTTAAGGGTTTTTAAGGGGCTTTAAGGTTTTTTTTGTTTTGAGTTTTTTAGGGTTGTTTAGGGTTGTTTAGGGTCTTTGGGCTTCGGGTGGTGAGGTTTGGGGCTTGACAGTTCGGGGTCTGCTGTTCCTAATCATGTTAAACCTCGAACCCCCGATTCCACGATGTTTTTCACAGGTCTTGTACTGAGTGTTTACCGCAAAGGTAGGCTTTGGGTTCTTAAGCTGAAGACCTAAACCCCAAACCCTGAACACTAAACCCTAAACCCTAAACCCTAAAGCCTAAACGCTAAACCCTAAACGCTAAACCCTAAACCCTAAACCCTAAACCCTAAACCCTAAACCCTAAACCCTAAACCCTAAACCCTAAACCCTAAACCCTAAACCCTACGAGGCTGTTGGGTGTCCCCTTGTGGTCTGAGGTTCAACTCGGCAGCTTCCGCTTGCGGCCGCGCCAGCGAGTGGCAGCCGGCGCTGGCTGTGCCCCGGCTTAGGGTTTAGGGTTTAGGGTTTAGGGTTTAGGGTTTAGGGTTTAGGGTTTAGGGTTTAGGGTTTAGCCAGGTGGCTGCGCTCTGGCTTTTGTCATAGGTAAGTCCTCACATGGGAGGTTCTTGACATTATGGAGTCTCTGTTGGGGATACCCGAAAAGGGCCAATCATGTAGTGAGTCTCCCATGTGGTCCATGAATGTGTTTTTTCCTTTGCTGGAGGGATTTAAGGGTTTAGTGTTTATAGGGTTTGTAGGGTAGAGAGGGACATAAAGGGTTGATAGGTTGGGCTTGAAGGGTTTTTAGGGTTATTGGGTTCACTACAGGGCTAACAAGGTTTAGAGGGTTTATAGGGGGTTTCCACGGCTTAGGGTACCCCGGTGAATAACGCTGAACTTGTCTTCCAATGCTGAATGGACGGCTGTGCACCCCGAAGGCAAGAAGCAGATCCGAAATGAGGAGGTCGCAAGCATTTCAGTGCTGTTGTCCAGGAGATGCCGATCTCGTTGGCTTGGTTCAGCAAGGATGGGCATGCATGTAGACTGGTACACTGGTGCAGATCCAGTGGCGAAGAAAGGTTCCCAACGCACCATCCAGCCAAGCCGCTGCAAGAAGTGCTTTGCCGGAGGCCACTTGCGAAGAATGCAAGCAACGGCCGCCCTCAACCCTCAACCCTCAACCCTCAACCCTCAACCCTAAACCCTAAACCCTAGCAAATCGATAGCTACCAGAAGCCGAATCAGGCAGCAGTCACCAGCTCGCTGCTGGCGACTGCGTTGCAGACTTTGGTGTGCCCTAAACTAAACCTTGTTAGCCTCTCAACACCTAAACACCTAAGGGTTCAGGGTTTTGGGTGCAGGGTTTAGAGTGTATCTTAAGGGTAGTTTCATGGGTCTTTAGAATGGCCCCTTACCTCCTTTAAAGGGTTCTGGTGTATGGGCCGGGCCATTAACTTGTATAGGGTCTGCAAAGGGGTACATAAGGGGTATCCTTTTGAGGGCCCACACGAGGGGACCATGTAACTACCCCTTACACCTAAGGGTTTAGGGTTTAGGGTTTAGGTTTCAGCGTTTAGGGGTCCTAAGGCCCCAAAGTCCCGACATGGAGCCTCCCTTGTACACCCTGAACCCTCAAACCCAGAACCCACTCAACAAAAGATCTCGACAAACTCTTAATGATCGTTTAGGGTTTAGGGTTTAGGGTTTAGGGTTTAGGGTTTAGGGTTTAGGGTTTAGGGTTTAGGGTTTAGGGACCCGCGGCATACCATACAAAAACGTAGCCCTGAAGCCCTGAAGCCCAAGCCAACCCGAAAACCCTAAGGCTACCCCCTAAACCTCAAACCCAAAACCCCAAACCCGAAGAGCCCTCTTAAGCCCTAAACCCTAAGCCCTAAACCCTAAGCCCTAAGCCCTAAACCCTAAACCCTAAACCCTAAACCCTAAACCCTAAGCCCTAAGCCCTAAGCCCTAAACCCTAAACCCTAAACCCTAAGCCCTAAGCCCTAAACCCTAAACCCCCCCCCCCCCCATAAGAATCCTGAACCTTGGGGCTCCGAAAGAGGTGCTCGACGAGTTGCTTCTGTCGCGCATGGGCCCGGACACTCTGGCCGTGGCCTTTGCCCTGGAGTCCTGCGTTCTGCCGCTCGGGCGGTTTAGGGCTTGTAGGGTTTAGGGGTTAGGGTTTAGGGTTTAGGGTTTAGGGTATCTTGAGAACTGACCATATCGGGTTTTGGGATGGGTTTGGAGAGTTCTTGCGAAGTTGGGGGCTTGAGGTTTCTAGGGGTTTGCATTTCAGGGTTTTAGGGTTCAGGGTTTAGAGAGCTTAGGGTTTAGGGTTCAGGGTTCAGGGTTTAGGGTTTAGGGTTTAGGGTTTAGGGCTTAGGGTTCAGGGCTTAGGGCTTAGGGCTTAGGGTTTAGGGCTTGTATAGGGTTTAGGGTTTCAGGAGTTAGGGCTTTGGATAGGGTTTAGGGTTTAGGGTTCCCGCTCTGGGGTCCAAAGAGTCTCTTTATGTTTTTTTGGAAGGTTCAGAGCAAAAGTCTGGGGGGTTTTCGGGGTTTAGGGTTTAGGGTTTAGGGTTTAGGGTTTTAGGATCTGCCACTGCGCTTCATATTCGCAGACCCCCCGACCCCACCTGCCCACACTGCCCAGAGCTCAGAAGCCCAAAAACAACCCTAAACCCTAAGCCCTAGACCCTAAACCCTAAGCCCTAAACCCTAAAACCCTAAACCCTAAAACCGAAAACCCGAAATAAAGGCCACGCCACACACGAAGTCCTTCTGTCGCGCTCTGACGCAAGTCCCTTTAGATGAGGTCTGGAAAATGCCGCCGTGCGTGTGAGCTGCTTGTTGAGGTGGAGCTTTCCTTGGAGCTCCTGCGACGTGGTGGAAGTGCCCGAACTTAGTAGAAAGCCGTCCCTGGGTGGCCGTCCCTGGGTGGGTTTATGAAAACCCTAAGTGGGCTCCTTTTTATGGGGGGATCCTACAATTTGGGGGTCTGTCTTGAGGGCCCCCTATTTTCGCAACCTCCCCTTTGCTGCAGTAGTATTCCAGCACGTGGGTATTGGGCGCCTTTTCCTTGAGCATCCTCGGCCGTTTCCTTCCGTTTCCTTGAGCATCATAGGATCCCGAAGTAAACCCCCTTATACCCCAACCGCTTGACCACCCCAGCCAAAGACCCAAGCCACAGCACCGCGGGACGGCCGCTCATGATTCGTGCGCACGAAGCCCAATCCCCAAAAACCGAGCAATGCAAGCCCAACGCAGAGGGGTTCCCTTCCTTTGCCGACCAAGATGAGGCGGGTTGACAAAATCAGTGTTTTTGTTGTTCTTGGGGGGTGTCTTGTATGGTGAGGGTCTACAGGGCTTTGAGGTGTTGGGCTTATAGCTTTGGACTTAGCAAGTCTACTACCCACCTTGCTAGGCTTCGGGGGCTTCGGGTTGCAGCTACGTATGCCTTTCCCACAGATACTCTTGTAGTTTTTTCTACCTAAACCCTAAACCCTAAACCCTAAACCCTAAACCCTAAACCCTAACCCCCCAGCCTTGAGCCTGCCTCCCTCAAGGATGGCCCCTTACCCCGAATTTAAACTTGGCAGAGTCTTATTCGGGTTTAGGGTTTAGGGTTTGGGGTGTAGGGTTTAGGGTTTAGGGCTACTTCTATCCGAAGCCTTAAGCCCTACTCAGAACTTTCTAGATCAACCTTCAAGTACACCCGACGCCGCCCGAAACTGCCCTAAACCGCCCTAAACTGCCCTAAGCCCTAAACCCTAAACCCTCCGGCGTGCTCGGCTCATGAACCGCCCGGCCCTTGGCGGAAGCATGTTGCCGTGTTTTTTTTTTTTATACAGACGGGTTTCCGGGGGGGGGTTTATAATCGGTATGTAGGCTGTTGCCCATGTTCGGGGCCTTTCGTTTTCGTTTACAGCAGGGTCAAAGAGTGGAATACGCGACCATGGCAGCACGCGCGCGAGCCGCGGTTGGGTCCAGACTACTGCCTCTTGCTCCGAAGACTACCATTTGAGACTATTTGGCTTAAGAACCCAAAAAAGAATTAGGACTGATGATCCCTATATTGCCCTAGTAAGGAAGAATCCTTATGGTACTTAAGCAAAGAGTAGAAGATGAGGGAAGGATCCCGAAACCCCCAAACCCGTGACTTAAATCTGTGCGGGGGAGGTCATGGCTTAGCCTCAACCCTCAACCCTCAACCCTCAACCCTCAACCCTAAACCCTAAACCCTAAACCCTAAACCCCGAAACCCTCAACCTAAACCCTAAACCTTAAACCCTCAACCCTCAACCCTCAACCCTCAACCCTCAACCCTCAACCCTCAACCCTCAACCCTCAACCCTCAACCCTCAACCCTCAACCCTAAACCCTAAACCCTAAACCCTAAACCCTAAACCCTAAACCCTAAACCCTAAACCCTAAACCCTAAACCGAAGCAGCCCGAGGCTCCTCCTGCTTGGGGCGCTGCTGATCCTTGCGCCGGAATGTTTCCTTGGAGGCTTGTTCTTGGGGTTTAGCGTTTAGGGTTTAGGGTTTAGGGTTTAGGGTTTAGGGTTTAGGGTTCAGGGTTCAGGGTTTAGGGTTTAGGGTTTAGGATTTAGGGTTTAGCTCACAGGCTCCCCAGAAAGAAGCCCTCAAAAGGAAGCCCCAAGAATAAGAGTGCAACCTAGGTCTCCCCCCCGCCCCTCTCGCCATCTGCTCTGCTGAACTACGTTGGGTTTAGGGTTTAGGGTTTATGGTTTAGGGTTTAGGGTTCCGGGTTCAGGGTTTAGGGTTTAGGGTTTAGGATTTAGGGTTTAGCTCACAGGCTCCCCAGAAAGAAGCCCTCAAAAGGAAGCCCCAAGAATAAGAGTGCAACCTAGGTCTCCCCCCCGCCCCTCTCGCCATCTGCTCTGCTGAACTACGTTGGGTTTAGGGTTTAGGGTTTATGGTTTAGGGTTTAGGGTTCCGGGTTCAGGGTTTAGGGTTTAGGGTTTAGGATTTAGGGTTTAGCTCACAGGCTCCCCAGAAAGAAGCCCTCAAAAGGAAGCCCCAAGAATAAGAGTGCAACCTAGGTCTCCCCCCCGCCCCTCTCGCCATCTGCTCTGCTGAACTACGTTGGGTTTGGGGTTTAGGGTTTATGGTTTAGGGTTTAGGGTTCCGGGTTCAGGGTTTAGGGTTTAGGGTTTAGGATTTAGGGTTTAGCTCACAGGCTCCCCAGAAAGAAGCCCTCAAAAGGAAGCCCCAAGAATAAGAGTGCAACCTAGGTCTCCCCCCCGCCCCTCTCGCCATCTGCTCTGCTGAACTACGTTGGGTTTGGGGTTTAGGGTTTATGGTTTAGGGTTTAGGGTTCCGGGTTCAGGGTTTAGGGTTTAGGGTTTAGGATTTAGGGTTTAGCTCACAGGCTCCCCAGAAAGAAGCCCTCAAAAGGAAACCCCAAGAAAATAAGATTGCAACCTAGGTCTCCACCCCGCCCCTCTCGCCATCTGCTCTGCTGAACTACGTTGGGTTTAGGGTTTAGGGTTTAGGGTTTAGGGTTTAGGGTTCCGGGTTCAGGGTTTAGGGTTTAGCTCACAGGCTCCCCAGAAAGAAGCCCTCAAAAGGAAACCCCAAGAAAATAAGATTGCAACCTAGGTCTCCCCCCCGCCCCTCTCGCCATCTGCTCTGCTGAACTACGTTGGGTTTAGGGTTTAGGGTTTAGGGTTTAGGGTTTAGGGTTCCGGGTTCAGGGTTTAGGGTTTAGCTCACAGGCTCCCCAGAAAGAAGCCCTCAAAAGGAAACCCCAAGAAAATAAGATTGCAACCTAGGTCTCCCCCCCGCCCCTCTCGCCATCTGCTCTGCTGAACTACGTTGGGTTTAGGGTTTAGGGTTTAGGGTTTAGGGTTTAGGGTTTCAGGGTTTAGGGTTTAGCTCACAGGCTCCCCAGAAAGAAGCCCTCAAAAGGAAACCCCAAGAAAATAAGATTGCAACCTAGGTCTCCCCCCCGCCCTCTCGCCATCTGCTCTGCTGAACTACGTTGGGTTTAGGTTTAGGGTTTAGGGTTTAGGGTTCCGGGTTCAGGGTTTTAGGGTTTAGCTCACAGGCTCCCCAGAAAGAAGCCCTCAAAAAGGAAACCCCAAGAAAATAAGATTGCAACTAGGTCTCCCCCCGCCCCTCTCGCCATCTGCTCTGCTGAACTACGTTGGTTTAGGGTTTAGGGTTTAGGGTTTAGGGTTTAGGGTTCCGGGTTCAGGGTTTAGGGTTTAGCTCACAGGCTCCCCAGAAAGAAGCCCTCAAAAGGAAACCCCAAGAAAATAAGATTGCAACCTAGGTCTCCCCCCCGCCCCTCTCGCCATCTGCTCTGCTGAACTACTTTGGGTTTAGGGTTTAGGGTTTAGGGTTTAGGGTTTAGGGTTCCGGGTTCGGGTTTAGGGTTTAGCTCACAGGCTCCCCAGAAAGAAGCCTCAAAAGGAAACCCCAAGAAAATAAGATTGCAACCTAGGTCTCCCCCCGCCCCTCTCGCCATCTGCTCTGCTGAACTACGTTGGGTTTAGGGTTTAGGGTTTAGGGTTTAGGGTTAGGGTTCCGGGTCAGGGTTTAGGGTTTAGCTCACAGGCTCCCCAGAAAGAAGCCCTCAAAAGGAAACCCCAAGAAAATAAGATTGCAACCTAGGTCTCCCCCCGCCCCTCTCGCCATCTGCTCTGCTGACTACTTTGGGTTTAGGGTTTAGGGTTTAGGTTTAGGTTTAGGGTTCCGGGGGTTTAGGGTTTAGCTCACAGGCTCCCCAGAAAGAAGCCCTCAAAAGGAAACCCCAAGAAAATAAGATTGCAACCTAGGTCTCCCCCCCGCCCCTCTCGCCATCTGCTCTGCTGAACTACTTGGGTTTAGGGTTTAGGGTTTAGGGTTTAGGGGTTTAGGGTTCCGGGTTCAGGGTTTAGGGTTTAGCTCACAGGCTCCCCAGAAAGAAGCCCTCAAAAGGAAACCCCAGAAAATAAGATTGCAACCTGGTGCCCCCTCCCGCCAGGCCATGGGTTTAGGGTTTGGGTTTAGGGTTTAGGGTTTAGGGTTGGTTGGGTTTTAGGGTTTTTAGCTCACAGGCTCCCAGAAAGAAGCCCTCAAAAGGAAACCCCAAGAAAATAAGATTGCAACCTAGGTCTCCCCCCCGCCCTCTCGCCATCTGCTCTGCTGAACTCGTTGGGTTTAGGGTTTAGGGTTTTTAGGGTTCCGGGTTCAGGGTTTAGGGGTTTAGCTCACAGGCTCCCCAGAAAGAAGCCCTCAAAAGGAAACCCCAAGAAAATAAGATTGCAACCTAGGTCTCCCCCCGCCCCTCTCGCCATCTGCTCTGCTGAACTACGTTGGGTAGGGTTAGGGTTAGGGTTTAGGGTTAGGGGTTCCGGGTTCAGGGTTTAGGGTTTAGCTCACAGGCTCCCCAGAAAGAGCCCTCAAAAGGAAACCCCAAGAAAATAAGATTGCAACCTAGGTTCCCCCCCCCTCTCGCCACTGCTCTGCTGAACTACTTTAGGTTTAGGGTTAGGGTTTAGGGTTTAGGGTTCCGGGTTCAGGGTTTAGGTTTAGCTCACAGGCTCCCCAGAAGAAGCCCTCAAAAGGAAACCCCAAGAAATAAGATTGCAACCTAGGTCTCCCCCCCGCCCTCTCGCCATCTGCTCCTGAACTACGTTGGGTTTAGGGTTTAGGGTTTAGGGTTTAGGGTTCCGGGTTCAGGGTTTAGGGTTTAGGGTTTAGGGTTTAGGGTTTAGGGTTTAGGGTTTTAGGGAATCCCGGGTCCCTGCAGAGGTGCCTCCGGTTCGATCAGCACGCGCGTGGCCCGCCCTGCCACGCCCGAGGTGCCGTATCTGGGGCATTTCTTTTCGGCGGTTGCGGGGGTTCAGGGTTGTCAGGTTAGAGGGTGTTGGGGGTTTAGGGTTTAATGTGGGGA